GTGTGTGTGTGTGTGTGTTTCTTGGGGGGGGAGGGAGTTGCAGCTAAATTAAACCTCATTTCGTTTGCTTCATTCAGTGAACAAGTGGAAACTTTGGAAAGTAGAAATGAACGTCTGTTCATAATACTGCTGGAAAATAAAGATTATACTACAGAGCGCGCTTTGTTGTAATGTGTTAAGTAAGATGTTCGCGTCGTTTAAAGTTGTGATAGCAGAATAGTATCCGTTCATATTGTTAATGGTATTATCCTAATTTTGGTATTTACTTTTTAAAGTCTTTGTTACCTCAGGGTGTCATTGGAGAAACAAAGAGTAGTAGCAAAAACAACTACAACAACGAAAACAACCACAACAACCGCAACAACCACAACAACAACAACAACAACGAGAGCAGCAGCAACGACAACAACAACAACAACAATAGCAACCTCAACAACAATAACAACAGCCACAATCGCAACAACAGCAAGGGAGGCGGTGGCCCTGCTCTTCGGGGATCCAAACATTTCGAACGGATAGGCTACCATACACACACAACAACAACAGCAACAACAATAACTGCAATAGCAACAACAACAGTAACAACAACAACAACAACAACAACAACAATAGCAACCTAATAATCAATAACAACAACAACAACAACAACAGTTTATCAAAGATCCACCTGCTCCTCATTCTCTTTGCTCCGGATGTCATAAGTACCCAAGGACGCAGTGAACAAGATGGCGGACACGTTCTCGAAGTTCTGTAGCCATTTCTTCTTGACCGAGCTGTGGCCGTCTACGTCACATAATCTGGGGAAAGACATGAATACTAAATTAAATGAGGGATCAGTGTGTGGCGAGGAATGATACTGTGTGTGTGCGTGTGTGTATGTGTGTGTGTGAGAGAGAGAGAAAGAGAGAGTGTGTGTGTGTGTGTATGTGTGTGTATGTGTGTGTGTGTGTGTGAGAGAGTATGTATGAGAGAGAGAGAAAGAGAGAGTGTAATTGTGAGTTTGTGTGTGTGAGAGAGAGTGAGAGAGAGTGAGAGAGAGTGAGAGAGAGACTATGTGTGTGTG